AAGTTATCTGATGAAAACAACCATGGACACTTTAGGTCTAAAGTGAAAGAGCAGAGACTCAACGGGTGTCTTCTTCCACTGCAAAGCATCATGTGACATCACAAAGGGAAAAGATCCAGTCTCATCCACCAGATTCATGTGGTTCCACTAAGCCAAGCTTCACCCTTTATTTGGAGGCGCTGTTGACAGTAGAAGCAGTTTTTGGGAGGACTGACAAACTTCGCAAAACAAAATTCAAAAAGCAAATGAGTAATGTATTGTTAGTGTTGCTTCCTAACCCCGCTCATATCCCCTCTCCCCTCATCTCAGAGACAGGAAGACGATACGAGTTTAATAGAGGTCAGAGCTTCAAAACGTATATAAAATTTAAATAAACAAAACTGGACTTCCACTGTGTGAGCCCGTTATTTCTGGAGCGCATGATAGAGAGACGCAATTACGCACGATGGCGCATGGCTGTATTGCCCTTTAGCATGGACCGATTAGTATGTCGCACACCGCCTTGGAGAGCTCAGAATCCAGGCTTTACAGAGGGCGAGACACACTTTGTCCATATTCTACCATTTCACAAACAAATGCAGTCAAACACAGATATTATTAAATGTGCGTTCTCAGTACACACCTACTTTTACTGAGGCTACAAGTCACAAAACACCAGAGAACGGGCCGAACCCAACAGATATTAACAAGCTAGCCTAATGACAGTTAACATTTGTATGCAGGTCACAGCTGTATTTTAGTTCAAACACACAACTAAATAACACGGAGCTACGAAAGTGCATGTTTGTGGGGGCATATCAAGACAAGTTGACAAAAGAACGCTTACATGGTTATGACTGTGGGGCCCAGCTGAGATCCCGGGGTAAAATCCAACATTTCCTTGTTGCGACTCGGTCATAATATCCATCGGTGTTGTATAGATATCTGCATCCCACCGGTTAAAAATGTGTTTCCTGTAGCGCCCGCCCCCCCACAAAACATGGGGATTCAATAAAACTCACAGTGGTCAGAAAGATTTTTGGTTTGGCAAGGTTAGACGTCTCTGGTGGTAACTACAATTAAAATACATTGAAATTGATGCTATTTCCTGTAATCAGCGGGGTGTTTCCGTGTTTATTGATAATGTAAGGATGCACTGGACCTCAGAGAGACTTTCTTCATCCTCCTCGTGCCCCTCTCTTTGTGGCTGTTTTACATCTGTTTTTACCAAGTTTGTATATGTTTGTTGTTGACTGACTTTCCAGAAAGAAATGTTAACAGGCCCGTGATCCCCTGGGCCCCTGGGCCTGAGCCCATTCAGTAATTTGCATGCGCTCTACCATTTTTTCCTCTTTAATTGCACAATAACAGCAAAGAATTTAACACTACATTTCCCAAATTGCAGCTTTGTTACCAACTATACCCCATAGCTAACCAGTATTAAAAAAAAATACATTTCAGCTTTCTTCAAATGTGCCCAGTTGTCAGGCCTTCCTGTGTTGAGTTTGTGTTTTCTCGGTGCTTGTGTGTGTTTGCTCCCACAATTCAAAGACATGCAGATTGGGTTAACTGGTGACTATAAATTGCTAGTAGGTGTGAATGTGAATGTCAGTGAAAGTGGTTATCACTCTGTGTGTTAGTCCTGTAATTGACCGGCTTGATTGTCAGCTAGGAATGGCTGGGGATTTCAAGGTAAGCAGGTACAGCTGCTGGATGGATTATAATAATGTAATGTATGGTTTTCTGAAAATAACTGTTTTGTTCCTTTACTGTATACACACACACATACACTCCACATTACAACATTGTGTCATTATGAAGATTAACCATCAGGTCATGAGAATGTACATGCAGTGTCATGGATATTTAAGCTGCATATTGGTACAAATGAGTACTGAATTTACTTTGTGATCATCAATATTTGATAAGACATAATTTGGGATAGTTTCTTGTGAAATGTACAGTACAAGTGATAAACTTTTGTCATAAAGCAACCTACTTGTTTATCCTTTCAACAGACAATATGAAGAAACAAAGAGGAACCGCATAGAAAATCTATTAAGACTTTAATTTTCTTAATGCTTTTAAATACATTTTGGACAGGGGATGATATCTTTTGTATGAATAAGTTACATAATAAATAAAAGCAAACATTTTATTTTAAGGCAGTCTTAGGGCTCTTTCATATTCTGCAAAAGCTATGCAACCACAATGCTTCCAAGTACGCAAGGAGGGTCTGACACGTACTTGCATAGCAAAATATGTCATTCAAAATTTTGTATCGAAACAAGCACAAGTGTACTGTATACAGTACAAATACTGTACTGTCAGCCTATTCTGAAGTTTGTTTTCAGAAACGTTGGTGGGCAGTGAGGAATGCTTTTGGGCGGATGTTGCCACCTTCGTCCCTTTGCTGGCAGCAATTTAGCAGTAGCAAAATTATGCATTCCTTTTGCGTAGCCATTTTTGTTTCCACCAAACAAATCACCAGATTTGAGTAGGGCTATGGGCTAGCAACTTTTGTTATCCCCCAGTAGGATAAGTGGCGTATTGCATCTGTCTAGATGCAGGACAGTTATGTGCTACAAATACTTGCGTGATCCTTGCATTCATAGATGCATCTATATAGCTTGTGTAGAATGTGAACAGGCTTTATTTACCTGAAACACCCAAGTGTTACCAGCTTCAAATCTAGATCTGTTCAGTGTCAAACCCAGTTAACAACAGGAGTATTAAACCTGGGTTTAATTAAACCTTTGAAACCGACTGAAGGCTGTTCCAAATGGCTCTGCACCAGTGTTTGGAGATTAAACAAGAAAAAAAAAGGAAAACACCAGTGTAGCCCCTAAAGCACTGGAAGTCACAGAAGGTAGCATCTTACTCTCCTGCTTATCCATTTTTTCCATGCAGCAGGCAACGTTTATTGATCACAATGATTATCATAGCAATCCATTCACATTTAACTGCATTTTTCATTGTTTCCGTGGTGTATTAATGTGCTGAAGGTTTGCTGTTAACCACATACCGTATCTTCTTCTAATTATTCACCATGGCTGTCTTGCTTAGTAAGACACTAGTTTTTCATCAGAACAAGAAACAGGCTGGCAGCAAACATGACAAACGTGAAATGAATGTACTGTAGTAAGACCTCAGATCTACTCTCTGGCCTTCACACAAATCATACCTCATTCAGCAATTTACTTTTATTAACACAAGACTCTGAGGACTGAGCAGGTCGCAAAACACTTTTTTTCAAAATAAAGTGGTTTTACAGAAGGATTTGCAGTTAGTTATCAAATGATACAGATGTTCCAGATATGAATTAGCCAACCAGAGCTCTCCAAAATGACTGATGGGACATGCAGCCAATTAAGGCAGAATATAAATTTATATAAATGGGATTTTGTATCTAAATTGCATTTATCTGGTACAGCAGAGGTTAATGGCAGCCAACCTCTGTCAGATTTGTTTTAATTAATGTGATTATGTTAAGTGGAGTCACTGAAAGTCACTGAAAGGGTACTGTGCAAACAAATAAATGACAGAATATAAAAGTTACTGTCACCATTAAACTGTGTAGTTTCAACTGCCAAGCCCACCTGTAATCATGTGATATGATACATATTTAGTGCTAATTCTACAGTGCATTTTCTCACATGGTCATTTGTATTCTGTGTTGAAACGTACAGCAAAGATTTAACAATGTCAAATAATAATATAAAGATATAATTCGTGGAATTCATTTACACTAAGTGAACAGGTGTGGCCTCGGTGCTGGGTTATAAATTGTGCTAATTCTGGCTTTGCTAGTAGCAGGGAAAGCAATGAACTGTGAGCGAGGCGATGTTCGGGGTTAATCAGGGAGCACAATAACCACCTGCTTTTGCAAAGTAACAAGGAAATGTTCACTTGTCTGACTGGTGCATTTGAATGGGAACTATTTTTGGGATGGTTGTCTGATTGCTCTCCTGGAGAACGACAACTTGGACAAGGCATTGTGGTTATCCTGGTGATTACACTGGATAACTATAGTGGAGCTACTGCCCGCTGGCAAGGAGACTACAGTGAATGAAATGCCTCGTTTTTAATGTGTGTTCACCTCTCACTGATCAGTAATACTACACACAAACAGGAACACTTAATTGTAAGCAAACAAATAACTACAAGTGCATTTGGCATTGATGCTGTTAAATATACATGGAGGCATTTGTGTTGACACATACAAACAAAAACAGCCCTGTGTGCACAGTCACATACAGTCGTACCCACTGAACACTTACACACAAGCGTGCACATTCACACGAACACACACACATACACACTGCCTGTGTGTAGTTTCTCCCAGATTTGTCCCTCTGCATGCCGACTGTGTGTCTGGCACCAGGGTTAAAATCTGGAGCCACACACAGGCTGTGTGCTCTGTCTGCCTTTTACACGCTCTAAATTGGCTTTATGAATGGCTAGGACTCAATGACTGAGTCAACACCAGGGGTCACACTCAACACAATCCAACAGCGAGTTTTGGAGATAAGTCAGAAACAACATTCTCACAGCGCAGCCAGCAAGCATGTTTAAATTAATATGCCACCAGGTTTTCTTTTGTTTTGCATTGTAAACATTGCACTGTGGAGTGTGTCAATCCACAGATGTGTTGCTTGTTTGCTTTTAAACAGCACTCTGCAGTGTCTATGTGTGCACAGGGCATGTGTGTGCGCGTGTGTGTTTGTGTTCTCATTGCCCCATCAAAGCTATGTTTGATCTGACTGCTGTAATGAATCCAGCTCTCGACTTTGCGTGGAGCCAGTGACTCTGACAGCCTTCTGATGATAGATGGAGGCCTCTCTTCACACTCTTGTGTCCTCAGTGCGATGCATATCGTTTCCCCTATTCATAACCATCAGAAAAGCCAACACTCACCTATTGTTGCATACAGACATGTGCACACAAGTCCTCACCACTGCTCTACCATCAGATCCAACACTCGATTGATATTCAGATCTGAATCCAGACTGAAGTCTGTCTCAACAAAGGGAGCTGCTGGCGGGGTAAGCGGGCGGAGGCCAGACGTCAGCGTTTCCAGCCAGTCTGCAGCATCAAATGGGGTTGGAGC